ACTCACCCACTCACCCACTCACCCACCCACATAGCTACCCACCCAATACGCACACATAGATGCAGCATAATAAGTAGAGTCGCAGTCATGAAGAGAACGGTCGATATAGAACTCTCTCTCTCTCTCTCTATACCTATATATCTATAGATATATCTAGTCTTGAAGACGATGTAGTTCCACTCTGTCGATATAGAACTGAAACAAGTTAACCACAACGTGACGGAAGAAGCTTTAAAGACACCATCCAGAATCACCAGGTCTGTCTTCTCTGGCATTCCGGTGGCCATTGGCGGGACAGATCTCAACCCGGCAGTTTTCTATGGGGATTGGGTCATCACCATTTCAAACGAGCTGGCCAGAAGCCTAGCCCTTGAAGGTTCGGAGATCTATTCCAGCTCGGGTGGGAGACTGCTCAAGAAGGATGACCCCACGAAGTACTTTTGCAAGGGCGACCATCTCCTGGCTTTTCCTCAGGAGTGTGAGTCCTACCATGCACAGCTTCGAGCCACCACCATCTTCGCAGTAGCCTTCTCCACCTTGCTGCTGGCCACCATTTGGACTCTACTCGGGAAGCTGAAGCTCACCAGATATGTCAGCTACATGCCCTATAGCATCTCCGAGGCCTTTCTTGCTTGTGTCGGCTACAAGGTCTTCTACTACGCCATCAAGTTCTGCGACTTTGACCCAAGGCAGTTCTTCACGGCCGCTTTCATCGGCATTGTCCTCTACTTCATCAAGGCCCTGCACATCGGGAATCCCACCATCATGACGCCCGGGCTTTTTTTCAGGAAAGTCTTTGAATACAATCAAGGCGGCATGCTCACCATAATTTGTTCTAAGTGCTTCTTCTAGTAGCTGAAACTAAACAGAACATCATGCCCTGGTGCACTCTTCAACAGATTCCCTGAACCTCGCTACACCAGGGAATCCTTCGCAAGTCGTTTCTAAGGACGTTAGCATTGTGTTGCAATCCGGCATGACCTCCACTTGCTACCCTAACGCTCAGAACCTTGGACCAACGCCCGTGAACCGTCTTCCTCCGTAGATCCCGTGTAAATCCTCAACCATAAGCTGAGTTCTTGAACTCGAAACCTTGAAGAACCCCGATGGACCCCAAAACAGACCCCGAGGATGCCCTTGGGCCTGCTACTGCCCCTGGCCATCTTTTGGGGCGTCGCGCTTGGGACGCAGCAGACGCCCGAGATGATGCGAGATTCAGGTCGGCCCCAAAACCCAAAAGTCTTGTATTGAATCGTTGTAACAATAGTAGCCCTAATGCCCACAAAACTCACTGCTGTTCTTGTTGCTACTGCTCTTGCTGCTACTACTACTGCTGCTACGCCTGCTTCTACCACCACCACCACCACCGCCACCACACCACCACCACCACCACCACCACCGCCACCGCCACCGCCACCGCCACCGCCACCGCCACCGCCACCGCCAGCACCACCACCACGACCACGACCACGACCGCGACCACGACCACGACCACGACCACGACCACGACCACGACCACGACCACGACCACGACCACGACCACGACCACGACCACTACCACCACCACGACGACGACTCCTACTACCACTACTACAAGACCACTAGTACTACCATTGCTACTGCTGCTACTACTATTACTACTACTACTACTACTACTACTACTACTACCTACACCTACTAC